CGTTTGTTTATATTGAATTTCGAGATTTCCATCGAATAAAACATACTTGACAGGTCTTCACAATGGGAGCCAGGGATGCCAGTGCCAATTAAAGTCGGTCTGGATGCTGCCTGGCCTAAGCGTGGTTCAGGATTTAAGTATGATAGTCTCTCAGGTAAATTCAATCTCCGTATGATAATAATCGAATTATGTAAAAAAAAATGTGAATTAATAGTATTATCCTCACTCAACGATACTACAAAAATTGTGAAAAAAAAATAAATTGGACGGATTAACTTTTATTACAACGAATTGTTGCGAAAAAATCTATTATTAGCTTTCTCCTCACACCAGCCTATCCCCACCATTTCTTTTTTTTTTAAATAGGTGTTGCAACGTCTGTGGGGGTGGCAACAGGTAAAATAGTTGCTCGTGGCACGAGGAATAAAGCGTGTAGATTTTGTAAGCTAGGATATGCTCCAGAGGATCACAACTGCCAACGCAATTGGGATGGGAGTGCGAAAGCAATGGAGGCTAGCATCGCAGAAGAAATACTAACGAAGAATAAACAATTTGAAGAAGAAAATGTCATTCTTGGTACATTGATCGGCGATGACGATAGCTCAACGATTGCTGCAATTCGTCGAGAGTGCAAACATCCTGTTGCTAAATGGTCTGATCTGAATCATGCTACAAAACAATTAAATAATGCTTTGTGGAAAAATAAAGTAAACAGACAGGTCATTGATCACTTGAAGTTTGCTTTCGGGTGTGCGTTGAAGAAAAATAAGGATGATGTGTCAGGTACTGGAAGAAGTATAACAAATATTGTTCCCCATGCATTTGACGAGCATGAGAACTGTGGAGATTGGTGCAAATGGAAGGATGACCCTAACAACTATGTCCACAAATATTTACCAGGTGGTAAAGCTCTTGTTGGTGATTCCCTAAGAAAAACTTTGGATGACATTTTGGATAAATTCTGGAAAAACGCAGATAAATTAGCACCCTGTGGATCAACCCAAATTAACGAAAATCTAAATGCTATAATCTGTAGTAAAGCTCCAAAAAGTCATCATTATGGTGACTCTGAGGGATACAATTTTCGTGTAGATGCAGCAATTTTGCAGAAAAATGAAGGGACTAGCTACATAACGGATGGAAATTTGAAATGTCAAGTTTCCCCAGGGAAAATCACAAATAAATTCCGAGCCATCAAAGATATCAAGCGCGAGAAGCAAGCAAATAGGATGAAGGCGCCAGCTTATAAGAGGAGGAGAAAAGAGTTGAAACAGGGGAGAACGAAGAATAATAAAAACTTGACGAGAAAAGAGGGAGTAACATACTCTACAGCATGTGCCATGGACCGTGTTGGGAATTTTATCGATGAGTCAATAGCAAGGAAAACAATACCAGATGATCTAGAATTTGTTTATTTTGATTTAGAGACGACAGGACTAAACAATAAAACTGATGAAATTTGTCAGATAGCTGCCAAAGTCAATGACACTGAGATTCAAGCTTTCATAATGCCAAAAAATGGGATTCCACCAAACGTCACTAAGATCACAAATTTATCAATTAATGAAGGTTGTATGTATTACAATGAAAATCCTGTAGAAACAATATCTCTGTGTGCAGCACTCTTGGCTGTGATAGAGTTTTTGCGACGATTGGGAAAGCCTATAATCCTCGTAGCTCATAATGGATTTCGATTCGACGTTCCTCTTTTAATTAGGGACATTAGAGCAGTTGATCTATGGGATGAGTTTAACGAAGTTGTGCATGGTTTTGTCGACACTTATCAGGTCCTTCAGAAAATGTTGCCTCAACGCAAAAAAGATCAGCTAAAATTCAATCAAGGTGATCTTGCTCGCGATTTCTTAGGCGCTGAGTCTGATGAGGGAGCCCATAATGCTTTAAATGATGTGACAGTCCTCCAAAAAATCATTAATAAAATTCCAATCCTCAAAGAAGACTTCAGAAGTCATGCTAAGACTGTTAGCTCGGTGCTATTCGAAATGAGGATGTCAGCTAGGAAAAAATCCTTGGAATGTTTGCAGAACAACGTGACCAAAAGCATGATGCTTAAAATTGCTAAAGCAGGTCTCTCACTAAGTGATTTGCAATTTGCATATCGAGAGAGAAAA